CAAGTGAGAATATTGATACTCCCCCAGGCCTACACACACACACACACTCACACACACTCACACTCACACACTCACACACTCACACACTCACACACACCACACACACCCACACACACACACACTCACACTCACGCACACACACACGCACACACACGCACACACACACACACACACACACACACACACTCACACACACACACACACACACACACACACACACACACTGGCTTCACCTAAAGAAACTCTTTCAACATGTTAGAATGTTAATGATTTGGGTGTTGGGCCCTAAACACTACAGGGACCTGTTTCTTACAACACTACAGGGACCTGTTTCTTACAGCCAGTATAAACCTTGTATCTGCTTATTTCTTCCTGTGTTATATTCTCAGAAGCTCAAAACCAAATCTGAAGTCTACCTCAGATAACTGCACAGAGCCTGTGGCATGTGAATACATCTCCCCCTCTCCGTGTTGGGGACTGAGTCAAACAGTCCACCTCTGAGCTGTATTTCCATCCTGTCTTGTATTCAGCCATTTTTTATTTTGTTGTGTTATAAACATTTCCGAAAGTCAGTTAAACTGTTTTCAAAGGTACAGGAAAATCACAAGCCAGGGTTTCAAGTAGGGAAGACTAACATTAACTATTTGGTGCGATGAAAGATGAATGCTTCAGATCATAATGAAGTTTCCTGCATAGCTGTACAATTCAAGCCACAGAAGGGAAAGCCCGAGTTCAGTACCCAGACGTCCTCACAGTGAGAGATGAGCTAACTGCAGTGCTAAGATGTGTAACTGTTACCCACCGTGTTACTGAAATCGATTACGAGTCTGAGACCCTCAGCTACGCTTGATAAAGACATCTTACTTCAAAGTAAGAAAACAAAACAGGCGAGCATGGAGCTCTAGAACTCACTTGGGTGACTTGAGGTCCCGATGTATAATTTTATGGAGATGGAGGTAATTCATCCCACTGGCGATCCCTGTGGACCAGTCCACCAGCAGCCGCGGTGTAATCTTCCTGCCAGCTCTCAGGACCTCGTACAGCTGCCCGTGGGCACAGTACTCCATGATGATGCAGTAGCACGGGGCCTGAGTGCAAACACCCCTTTGAAGAAAACATACATGAATATAGACAGTATACATGCATACACATCTGCATCTTGGGAGTGTTTAATAAGGGCCCACTCCTTACCCAAATGATATCAAAATAATACAGATAACAGTTCTTGATTCTTCAATAAGAACTGCATCTTTCTGGTCCAGTTTCTCTGGTTAAGCACATAGGTGATTTCTGCTTTTTTCTTAAGTCTAGACAGCAGCAGGCTGTGCTAATCTGGTAGTCTTGTGGGACACCATTCACTTTGAGACAAAAAGTATTCTTTTCTCAGGCTTGGATAGGCTGGATGTGCTGAGTTTTTTTTTAATCATTAAAATAATTTAAAATATTTTCCTTTTAAACATAAACAGATTTTAATGTAATGTACAGAGAATTAAAGTATTTTTATAATTGCTTGTTAAATTTTAAATTACTCAAATTTAAGATAATTAGACTGAGGAAATAAATAAATGAATAAATAAATAAATAGAAAAGTAAAAAAAAATGGGTCAATTTTCTATCTTCCATATAGTACTGTGAAAATTATTTAGAATAAAGAGAACATTATTTCATGTTATACATCCACACAGGTCATGGTCCCACTGGTTCCTGTATCTTCCATCACACTTGTCTTGATCATTTAAGTCCAAAGGGATCTTTCTTTTCTCATTAGCCATGAGTTTTCTCTGTTCACACGGACTGCAGACTCTGCAGGTGGTGGTGGTCTTCAGGGTCTCTTCTCTATGAGGCCTAGAGAGCCCCAGGCAGTCCCTGACATGTTTAACTTCACTCCAGAACTCACAGCTGACAGGCCTTCACCATTACATTAGGAGAGATATGGTAGGAGCAAAATCCTATCCAGTAAAGAGCTACTGATTTTCAAGCACATTTCTATGTTTTCCTTCATCTGCCTGGAATCATCACAGGATAGATTTAACCACTTCCGTGTTTATAGGGAAGGCTCAGGGTGAAAGTGAGTTATTTTACCAGATCCACTCAGTCAGTGAGTGACAAGCTAGTCTAGCTTCAAAGCCCAGGTCCTGGTCCTCACTGTATTATACTCTGTTTTTAACTTCTGCATAAACAATCATTGGGGGAGTCCTATGTTAATGCCATTAGTTCACTAAACTAGAAATAATATGAACTGTATCTCAGAGTTTTGTCTTCAAGATGGATCCATTTGGTAAGTATGCTCAGACCCCCTCAGACTCTCCAGGGAAGTTACCAGAGCACGAGGGACAAGTCAGAGACAGTTGTCAGCTGGCTTCCCATCCTGTCTCCCAGGCTGAGGCAGGAAGCAAGGGAGGGATTAGGGAACAGCATAAGGCACTGACATGCACCAGCAGTGGGGTGCGAACCAGCAGTGGGCTGCACACCAGCAGTGGGGTGCACGTCAGCCTTCGCTTCACCTGCCTGAGGTGTCCAGCAATTCCAACACCCACACAGTTAGAGAAGCCCTTCTGGAGCTGTGGGACTCCACACTGCATCCTAAAATTCACCCCAGAGTATATTTTTATCCACCCATGAGTACCCAGCCTAAACAAGCCCCAAAAAACAGTACTTGTAGCAGAATGAAATGGTACCACACATTTCATTTCACCTAAGAGGAAAAGCCCAAGACAGAGTTGGAGCTAGAAGAACAATTAGCTTCATCTCTCTCCCAACTGCGGCGGTCATCACCTGCACTCAGTCCCTGTCATCCACTATACGCTTTCTTGTTCTCCTGTCTACACATGGTTCTGGACCCACAGGTACATTTGCTTACGTCAGTAGAAATGTGTTACAGTCTGTATATGAGGGAGATCTTTTTTTTTTTTTGGTTTTTCGAGACAGGGTTTCTCTGTGTAGCCCCTGGCTGTCCTGGAACTCACTCTGTAGACCAGGCTGGCCTCAAACTCAGAAATCCGCCTGTCTCTGCCTCCCAAGTGCTGGGATTAAAGGCGTGCACGACCACTGCCCAGCTCAATCTTTGATTTTTAATGGAAAACTTTTTTGAAATCTCAGAGAAGCATACATGAACAACAACTAAAAATAGGTAATTGATCACTGCACAGAAACTCCTCAGGGAACAATGTAATACATGTAAGAAAGCAAGGATAAATATGCTCGCATGGACTCAGCATCTCCTCAGCCGGCACACAGACGGAAATGGTCTAACAGAGACACATCTTGTGAGCTTTTCTTCTCATTTTGACAGATGAGAAGTCATCATTCCACTTGTCCCCTACTGTAACAAGGCTTCCAGACAGCTAGAAATAACAGCTTCGTCATCAGTTCTAATTGCTACCTTCTCTTGGGATTGAATTCTATTAGAAACAGTCAAGTTGGACTTTCTTAAAATAAGAAGAAATGACTATCTTCTTCCCATCTTGTATTTCTTTTTGTTTGTGGCTCTTACTAACTTCAAATGCATCTATAAGCACAGAAATACGTGCTAAAACCCAACCATGCCTTCCAGAGACCCTTGACTGACTCACTGACCAAAGCAACAAACGGCACATGACTGTAAACATGACACTGTGCAATGACCCTACGTGAAGGGTCCTAGGGTCACCATGCAGAAGGACACATGATTTGAATGTGTTTAGCTTAGGGAGCTGGGCCCTCGAACAGCTCCTCAAACCCAACAGTGTTGAAAATGTACCCTAGATAGAGGACTGACAGGACATGGTAGGAAGGGAAGAGACAGCAATGCACTGTCTCCTCTCAGGACCATGTCTACCTTCCATGCCAATGGCAAAGAGCCTACTGCATTCCAGAAAGCCCAAAGGCACACAGCAGTCCATCCTGGTGATCTGGGTTTCAAAGCTCTTGGCCCCTTCTTCCATGAAGGAAAACACAATTATTTCAGTGAAGGAAAATGAAAGAGAGAGAAGATGGTCTCTATTTGTCTGTCTGTCTGCTGAACATTATCCTTCTGTTAACTTGAAATTTATTGGCTCTGAAAAATTATATTTAGCTTCTAAAGCCTAACATTTTCACCAGGGCACTAGATGACAGGATTGTAACAGTGGCTGTCCTCTGCACAAAAGTCACTGCCTTCAACCTCTGTACTCCAGCAGATGCAGGCCCTCTTCTCACACCCTTCCCTTGCTGTAAGGGCTCTCACAAGAGAATTAAAACCACTTGGGCCACATTTTCTGTTCTTCACTCTTCCTCTTCTAAAGCTGATTCCTGTCACTTGTTCAGGCTTGTGGGTGGACAGCATGAAGACAGACATGGCAGGGCGCTCAAGGGAGAGGCTCAGGCAGAAGGAAACACAGCTGAGCCTGGCACTTCCAGCTGGTGCCGCAGCGCATTGGTGGTACAATGTGAGCACAGTTACCCTCCAACTGCAGTGCTTTCCACGAATTTACCTGAGACTGGCCTCTTCAGTTTCTGCCCTTCTTAAACCATAGATTGTAACCCCACATGGGGCCACACGCCTAAATGGAGGGGTCAGAAAACATTTGGCAACAGTAACATGTTTCTGAATGTACAATGAGCAAAATTAATTCAAAATCAAACACACAATGAATCCAAGCATGGCTCGACCTCATAGCAGCCCTAGTCTCCTTCAGACTCTGCCTGCTGTCAGCCACAGATGCCAGCAAACACTGTAATGCCTCAGCACACAGTAGAGACTACATATTATGGTTTTCATTTTAACTGTACAGCTTTCTGTTCTTACAGAAAGACAATAATTCAATTGTGGAAAGCAAATACTTTAGCATTTTCCTGACATCATTCTTCTGCAGGTAAGTACAAATCAGTCTACCTTTGGATGGTATTGTGCTAGAGAATGCTGCATTTTATGTACCTGTGTGTGTGTGTGTGTGTGTGTGTGTGTGTGCATGCCTGTGCATGTGTGCACATGTGTGTAAGCAGGTATGCTGGCCTACGAGGCATAGAGGGAGGCCAGAGGTTGACATTAGGGAATTCTTCTAACCACTCACCTTATTTCTTGAGACAGTGCCTCTCACTGAACCTGGACCTTGCTGTTTTGTCCAGACTGGCTAGTCTGTGACCACCAGAGCACCAGGAATATGTTACTGCTCACTCAGCACTGGAATTTTGGCAAGTACCCTCACATCCAGATTTTAGGGAGCTAGGGTTCTTACACTTATGTAACAAGCACTTTAGTTACTGACAATCTCCCCAGCCCTAAAATGCTTGATTCTAAAATTACTATTTGGGTTTCTAACTTGTGGTTCATAAAAGGCTACTGAATTAGATTTACCTTGAGATTAGGACAGAATTTCCAATGATTTCTGAGACAGCCCTGAACACGTGTCTGCCATTTTCTACTATGTATTTGTGTGAGTGGTGTTTTCAGCATGAACAGCTATGAAATCAAAATATCAGGCAACTCTGAAAAACATTGGAGATAGTCTACATCCCGCAGCATTAAATATTCAGCCAAGACTTAATTCTTTATGAAAAAGCAAACCAGTACATCCATCTTGTTAGCATTCGAAGTTCCTTAGTGCTTAGCAAATGGTCAAATTATATGTACACTGGAGAACTGTTAAAATGAATTTCCCTATGACTCAATATTAGAAGATGCTTGGATAATATAGGCAAGAAAGCGCTGAGAACAGAAAGAGTTTAAGAAACTGTGGATTCATATACATACTTGAGCACAACTGCTTTGTGAAATGAATGTATCACCAATGACTCTACAGTTGGATTTAGAAAGCCATGTTTGGCATTTCTAGGAGAGGGATGAAGTAAAACCTGATGCTCTGTATAGAGAAACCTGTCTTCATGAGTTACTATTTAAGAAGGACATTAACAGACACAAATATATGTCATCTCAGAGGGAGGACTGGTTACATCACTTCAGATGCCAGAGTTGTCGTAACTGAATTTCAGGCTGTTGTTGGGAATACTGTGAAGTGACCTTTGCCATCTTACTGACGTAGCTGATCTACAGTGTCTGGCAGGGCTCTCCTTCCTCCCTCCTGTGCATTCAGTACATGCATGCCCTTGCAATATGCATTCCTAGATTAAAAAGCTTGAGGGTATGACTCGTGCTTCCCAGTCCTTTAGCACACTAGTACTGTGCTAAGCCTATCAAGGAATTTTGAAATATCTTCCAAAGCAGAAACTTAAGTGTATACAATGAAGGAAGAAAGTAGCTCTATTTCCCTAAAACCACTCCTCAAACAAAGCTATCCAACTAACTAACTAACCAACCAACCAACCAGCCAACCAACCACCCACCCACCCACCAACCCACCTACCCAGTCAACCACCCACCCACTGACCCACCCACCTACCCACCCATCTACCCATTCATCCATCCACCCATCCACTCATCTACCCACCCACCCACCCACCCACCCACCCATCCACCCATCCACCCACCCACCCATCCACCCACCCAGCTAACTAAGCAAACAGTCCAGCAAAGCAAGTGCCGACCTACTTGAAGGCGATGATGTTAGGGTGCTTCAGCTTCCTCAGGTGCTTGATGTCCGTCTCATTTTGTTCTCTCACCTTCTTGATGGCTACCTCCTCTGCTCGGAATTTGCCCAGGAAGACAGCTCCTTGGGCTCCACTACCAAGCCACTGCAGCTCTGAGATTTCCTCAAATGGCACTTCCCAAGTATCTAGGCACATGATCAAGAAACAAGCTCAGAATGTGCTGAGAGCATTCTACAGGCCAGTCTGCAAGGTACCAAGTTCATCCCATCTGGAACAATCCTATTCTCTGATTCCCACCTAAAGATGTGACCTTCCTTTGAGCCTTGGTACTACAGGTCACATACTGGTAACTACACATTTTTAACTGCTTAACTCAAGCAGGCCTGAGATCTCAGGAGACCTTCCTCCAGAACTGCATACCCTGACCCTCAGCAACCTCTCCCCTATGTTAGGCAGGGATAACCAGCTGCCCTTCTTCTGTCTCCACACTGCCACCCTCACTCCACCACCCGCTACAGGTGTTTTTTCATCCTTCTGAACTGCTCATGCAAATGATCAATGGATCCTGCCTGGATACATCTCAAAGACATCTTCCTAACAACCAGACTGCGTGTAACATTTTCTCAGTGTTTACTCTTTACTGAATACTTACCACATACCAGAAGCTAGAGGAGTGATTTAATTTTAGCAGAATCATGTTTAATTTGACCACCTTTATGTGTCTGACCTTATTTTTTAAATCCATTTATTCCTATGGTGTGAGTGTGTGTGTGTGTGTGTGTGGCATGCATGTGACGTGTGTGTGTCTGTGTGTGTGTGTGTGTGTGTGAATATATGCATGTGAACGCCATGTGGAGGGCAGAGGACAACTTTTTGGAGTCAATTCTCTTCCATCCCAGAATCTAGGGATCAATCTGAGGTCCTTAGGTGTGGTGGTTCGAATAGGAATGTCCCCATAGACTCGTGTTTGAACGTTTGGCTATAGGGAGTGGCACTATTAGGTGTTGCCTTGTTGGAGGAGGTGTGGGGTTGGGCTTTGAGATCTCTATGCTTCATCTCCTGGCTGCCTCCGAATCCAGATGTAGAACTCTCAGCTCCTCCAGCACTGTGTCTGCCTGTATGCTACCATGCTCCCCACCATGATGATGATAGACTGAAGCTCTGAAACTGTAAGCCAGTTCCAATGAAATGCTGTCCTTTATAGGAGTTGTCTTGGTCATTGTCCCTTCACAGCAGTGGAAACCCTCACTAAGACAGCAGGCTTGCACTGCAAGTGCTTTTACCCACTGGCCTCGGCATAGTTAAAGAGGAGAGAACTAAAGCATAGGTTTGAGTGACTACTCAAGGTCACATGACTGGTAAAGGTCACATGACTGGTAAAAGTCACATGAGTGGCAGTGCAGCACCAGCCATTCTAGAAAGAGTACCTTCTCTACAGCCCTGCATTGCTTGCTACGTATGATGGAGCTAGAGAGGCCCTGGCTATTGGACACAGCCAGCCCACCTAAACTGTACTGCTCTCAACTTCTGCATTCCTTTAAAGAATATTTTTTAAAAAAATTATTCTAAGTAGTCATATTATTGGTAATTCATATT